ACTAGTATCATAGACTGGTACAGGTTTAAGCAAGGCATCCATGTAAGCCATTAGATACTACCAACTACTGCTAACTATTAAGCGTTTGTCTCAGATGGAATTACGAAGTAGTCTACAATGGGACGATCTCTAGAGAGGAATTCATCTCTCTCTGCATGTATTTTGAGTGCTCCCTCTTCGCACAGACATTATACACTTATAAAGACCCATACCATATCAAAGACACTAACCACTGTCTCAGGTGGGCTACGTATCGTTATAAACACCATGAATTTCTTAAACTAAGGAGTGCTTTTACAGTGCTTAACTATTATGGACGTTCCGGTGTTTACTTCCTGACAGAATGCGGGCGTGTTTACTACCAAAGGAAACTGTTATTTTATAAACTTATAGTTTTACTATAAGCATAGTTGATACCATATAATTTGCAAAGAAGAATTCATAAATATCTCAGAAACAAACTTTCAGAAATCAAATCTTAGTAGTAATCCGAGCATTTAAGTAAGTACTCACCTCCTATCATATATTTACTCTCACTTATATTTTACGCCTATCGCCAGAAAATTACTTCCAGGAAGCCTGATACTATAGCATTTAAAACGCACAAATTTGTAGAATCACAAATAATATTTTATCATAAAATTAATTATAACATTATTTTCAAAAACATTTGTTTCTCATTTGGAAAACGTGAATCATTTAAAAATGGGATGCCGAAAGCTTTTTCTTGTTAACGTTATTTATGAACCTATCCTTGACATGGATTTTAAATCAGAAACTGCTCTAATTGTTAAGCAGCTTGAGTAGAGTTCCTGTTAGGAAATATTTGGCACCTAATATATTACTAGAGTAGATATTAGTAATTAATTATAGCTAAATTCACATGTTTCAGTAAAGCCTAAGGTTACTTGTGGACATGAATAAATTACTAGATAACTTGATGTCAACTTTGAAGCATAATTACAAGTTAAGCAAAACTCTAAGTCAATTACGCATTATTTATAATTAGTTTTCAGCTCACGCTAGTGAATTAAAGGTAATACTAGAATCACTTTTTTCGCAAATGTTACGTAGCTTCTTGAAATGCAACATCTTTCAGTTAAGATATCAGTCTTACCTAGTATGACTACGCTATATTTATTATTTATTTTGCAAGTATTGACCCATTGGATTTAATTGAATAACCAAAAGGAGTAACTGAAAAGAATCACTTTTTCTTGAGTATTGTATATGCGTTTTCAATTAATTTAGGTGAACGCATATTCATTAGAATATTTTGAAATACAGTGTCTAAAACTGCGGATGATTTTGTAAAGCACAGTCAAAGTGATTGAATTTGTTAGTTATATCAGATTACACTTCTTCCTTCTAAAGAAACTACGAGCAAATTACCGATTAATTCAATTGAACAGTAATTGAATTAACTTACTGAAAACAATTCCCTTGCATACATTTTCAAGTCGAAATAGCACTAACAATAATTTTCGAGGCTAAATTTAACATCCAACGCAGTCTCCGAAGCAAAAGTTCAACATGATGTGCAGTCTCTGAAGCAATGTTTTAGTTGAGACCTTAGGCAATATAAAATTGAAGTAATAAAACGAAGTGTAGATGATAGTACGGTTAGTCTGATAGTCGTGTCTTAAACACTCTTTGCCCTTGAACTCCAGCTTATCGATAGCCTGCAGTTACACTTCTTTTACCCCGTTCCTCCAGACTGGTATTTTTGTTTTGAAACTTGAAATTTATTTTGACGCAAATTTCTCTTCGCTTTTTCTTCTCTTTATGCTTAAAGTTACGACTAGCAAGGCTGGAATGCTAAGCAAGCTAAGCAACTTTTGACTGGATTATTATTGGATTATTCAATTATGGCAAAGTACACGAGGGCTATCTGCCTAAAGAGGGAGGGATGCCTTCGTGGAGGACTTTCTAAGGGAAACGGCTCATATACAGGTTACACATGGGGAAAACCACGAAAACGCCCATGCAGCCAGCCCCCGTTCGCGGGATTCGAACCTCGGACCGAACTACCAGTGTTCAGCGTTGCTGGTCGGCAACTTTTGACTGACCAAACACATTCCGAACATTTGGCATTCATATTTTATGACAGTTTAAAATATTCAAATTCTGATTGAAGAAGCGATAGTAGTTTGTAATATACAGCATTGGTTTTTCGAAGTGTGTATTGCACAATTCGGGGTTTCCATTCAGGTTCCAAGAATAGGATTCCATCAATCAAAGTCAGATTTTCATCAGACAGAAACCATGTTCACCACAAAGATAAACCTATAAAATAAGTAATTAAACAATTCCTTTAATTTTTTATTTTTATTTTCAACTAAAGCAATATAAAATAGATATTTTTATGATTATGATTCTGTTAAATGAGACTTAAATGAAGTAACTTAGAGGCCAACAAAGAAAAATCAATGCCCAGCCTGTTTCTAAGACATTTCAGTTTTTAATCAAAACCTCATTTTCAATCCCCTGGAATAACGAAAGCAAAAAAAGACAGAAAACCGAATGTGAAAAGCTTTTTCAAGCAACAGCAAAGAACTAAATTTCCGTATTTTATTTAAAAAAAAAAAGAAAAAGAAAGAAAAAAACGGAAAGTGAGCCTGGCCAATAAACTTACATAAAGCAGATGTGACTAAAGAATTCATAACTTAGAATAAAAAATATAATTGAACAACATATTTTTTCATTATTCACATAAAGTGAATGTATTGTTGATATATGCAGTTCGTCCATAAAAGTTCTTAAGCAATTTTTATTTTCGCGTTCTGCTTCATAGATAAATACTTACAACAATACTTATTTTAAGTAAGGTATATATTCATCTTTTCGTATTTCTGAAATCAATGATAAAATTTCATAATTCTAATTCTGTATATGGTGCCTTGGTTTCTACAGTTATACAGCACCTCAGTTCCCATATTTTCATTTCATTAGCGCTTTATACTCATTCCAAAAAATAAAATGCAATATACTTGACAGCCCCATGAGTCTGTCAGAAAATGTAGCTCAGTTTGAACTAAAATGGAAAACAAAATGGCAAGCTTATGCAGAATTTGATTTTAACTTTTGATCTTGTGGAATGTAGTTCCCAATGTTATTTTGAATATGTTTTGTACGAGTTTTTGTGTTGTGTAACTTTTGAGCTGTGGGAAATATAATTAAATTTACGGCCTACTAATATGTTCTTTTTTAGAAAAACTACGCTGTAGACCTGGGATCGCCAAACCGTCGATCGCGAGACATTTTCGGTAGATCGCGTTAACGCTCCGATTAGCTGTCTATGATTCCTGCACTGAGCTGACGCTGACAACTGCTTATTTTTTCCGCGCAACTGCAATTGTCAGCCTCATCTCATAGTCGAATTGTATATGCCTGAGGTTGTGCAGGTCATGTTTTCCGCGTGTATATTAGACATTTACCAACTTGAATAGTTTGATTAACGCATTGGTACCAAGCTAGGTTTGTTCTAACGATGCATAGTCAAGCAAAAAACTTATTACTCTCATTCAGAATGGGAAACCGATTACTTCTTTACCCAGCTGAAGGACAAACGTGTATGTTTACTGTGCTGTGCAAGTATATCAGTTAGTAAGAAAATAGTAAATTCCAAAAACGCTTCCAAGATTTCAGTTGTTTGTCAAATCGTCTTTTATAGAGATTGATACTAAAAGCTTATCTACTTGTATTATGGAACCTTTCGATTTTCAAGAAGATAATGCTGCAGAGGAATTGGAACTGATTGATTTTCAAGATGATTTTGTAGAGGCATTAGGTATTTTTTGGAAGCAGGAAAGATGAAAAATTAGCAACCGCCTTCGCCGGGAATCGAACCACGGACCTCTGGAATACCGGCCCAGCGTACAGAACCACTACACCACAAAGGCTCGCTAGGAAAATGGGAGAGATACCTTATATACTCCCCCCTTTAAAGGGCGACTGGGGTTTTTAGGGGACCCAATCGCCAAATCCTGGGTGTGAAGAGTCATCATCCACAACCCTTTTAATTCGGGCGCCATTGTAGAAACATTAGGTAATTTGTGGAATCAAGATAGATTAAAAAATGAGCAACGGGCTTCGCCTTGAATCGAACCACGGACCTCTGGAATACCGGTCCAGCGTGCAGAACCACTATACCACGAAGACACGCTAGGAAAGTGAGAGAGATACTTTATAATATATCATCTGCAAAATTGCTTTCTTCAAGCTCTGAAAATATTTGGCTTCTTGTTCCTAAAGACAAATACTCAATTTTAGACCAGGTATGTCAAAGTGAAAACAATATTCAGCTCTACATATCGTGTGAGATTTCTTTTTCCAGTATGAAATAAAAAAGTAAGTACTGAAACAGACTCACTGATGAACACTTGGACGAATGGCAGCCACTACCCACTCTCCCAACACTAAAAAACGTGTTGATGACAAAAAAAAATAATAATAATAATTCCATCCTTCTCATTAAAGTTAATACGTCTGATAAAATGTTCTGTCATTACATTTGTTATTTATTGACAACTACACTTCAAATTTTTTTCTTATGTATAATTCAATTTCACTTTCTTTTTGTAATAAACAGTTCAATTGAAATTGATTTCATATTTACTAAAAAGGCAAGTTTATAGGCAATAAACAAATGTAAGATTTTTTTTTAATTGGTAGTTGTTTTGATTAGTAGCTCACAGTAGGATTTAAAAATGGTACAGTAGCTCAGAAGCTTCTTAAGTTTCGCGACCACTGCTGTACACAGTTCTTCTTTCGACTTTTAATTTAGTGTGTAAAGTTAATTTTTCTGGAAAGATTATAAAATTGTTCTTTCTATTTATATTATTATTTATGCTATGACTGTACGCTGTAACTTCCAAGAATACATGCAAATTAACTGAAAAAATGAAGTATCATTTATGTATATCAATTCAAACTACGCATTAAAAAGAAGGAATACCAATCACTAGGTTTTGTATGAATGTAAGTGAGCGAAAACAAAATAAAGAGTTAGTGCTTTATTTTCAAAAGCCAAAATGATTGAATATTAAAACCACAAACATTTCTAGCACGAAATATGTTTAAGGTAGTTGAAATTATTTCAGTGTATGTAAAAGAAAGTTTTAATTAGCTCGAGGAGATAGTTTAAACAAGAAAATATTTAAAAGTCAAACGAGAGTGGAGTATTTCTTGCAGTAGACAGTGCTTCAGAGAACTTCATCGTAAAATCATTTGTTCTGTTTTCACAGAAATTCACCGAGCATAAAACCTCAGTTCTCTTAAAAAATATTTTTTTTCTTAGGACTTTGAGAAGTAAGAGTAGAATTAAATCATGCTTCCAAGGAAGAATATATATAAGTCATACTTCCTGAATATAATTCAAATTTTTGAAGAATAATTTTCAGATTAAATTTTTGTCTGAGAACTAAAAGTCCTCGTAACGAAACTGTATCGTATCGAAATATTTTTTATCAAGGCTTAGCAGCTCTCGTTCTTTAATATTTAATTGAGGAAATCTGTCAAGTTAATACTATTGCTTTCATTACATGGCCATTGTCATTTGAGGCATTATTAGGACTCTCAGTTTCTTGAAGATCTCCCTTTACTCTGGAGAATATAAGCTTCTGCAAATTCAGGAAAGGTGCTTCCACTAACATACAAACAACAAAAGCTACAAATGTAGATATGAAAATATCCCCAAAGAATCGCCATACCTGCAAAGTAAAAAAAAAAAGTCCAGTTATATAAATTAAATGGAATAAAAATGTTTATTTTCTTACTCTCATTTTTACATACACATATTATTTGAAATGAAGGAAAAATTACTTTCAAAATGACTAGAAATATATCTTCTGCTTTAAAGTTTTATTTTCTTTGCATATTAGGTTAATGTGTCTTCAAAGAACTCTTGTGTGATTCATGTCTTTTAGCGTACAAAATTTTTTATTAGAATATATACATATATATGCTATTTATTATCAATTTAGGAAACCTGAATTAGAAGACTGAATAAGTTATCCGAGATTAGAAAGAAATGCAAATAAAAAAGATATGTTCCGATTTCGTACTGTTCGTTTGATTGCTGAAATCCAGGTGTATTTTGGCGTATTGTAACAAAAAGTTTTGAAATCGGAAATTTTTTTCTTTTGTTATCTTCTGTAATTCATTGTCTATATGAAGACCTTTTTAAAGAAGTGAAATGTTTCAGGATTTAAAAATTGATGTGTCAGTTTAAGAATCTGCTTTTCATCTTCAAAATATTATTCTCAGCGTGTTTATTTATTATAAAACATAGACTGGCCTGTTGAATATTTTATACCAGCTCTCTAAAATGAAGGAAAACGAAGTCATTAGAGTATCTTTAATTTTTTTATCCTAAGCTTAAAACAAATAGTTCATAAAACTTGAAAATGTGTAGAGGAAGAGAAAACTAAACTGAGAGTGGCGCAACAGCCCTAGTGGGCCAAGGCCTGGAGTTTCCTGAAATCTCCTTTCTTGATGGTGTGTCCCGAAATGCGTGGGCAAATGCCCTGAACAAGTGGTCAGCTTATCGCAGGATCCACGGTGTTTAGTACCCAAATGAACTAGGTACTCATTTTATCGACCCACTTAAGGAATGAAAGACTGAGTCAATCTTGCCCAGGCGGGGGCCCAACCGCGGAATTGTGGTGCTACAGCGCGACGCGCTAGTCACTGCGCCACAGGTCTTCGTAGAGAGGAAGTGCCATCTAAAATATTCAACTAATGCTTCAGTGGTACGAGATCCAACGCGAATTATTAGATTTTAAATCATCTTAATAGCTTTTTTCATTTCTTAAAATTTTTAAATATAGACTTTAAAACCTAATTTTTTTATTTAATCTCTAAAGAACTCCAAAATCAAAAACAAAATATGAAATTTTCTTTATGATGCGTGCATTTCTTTGTGCTTTAAAATCGCCCGGGGATAAGCCAGCTGATCACTACAAATTCAACCGACTTCGTTTCTCTAACAAAGGACTTATTAGAGTTTCCATGAATCTTCCATGCGTATCTTACATGTGAATCGGTTTCCCTTAGATGGATCTCCACAAAGGCATATCTTTTCTCAGGCAGCGAGTCCTCTGGTTCTTTGTCTCAATAAATTAAGGCTCGCTCGCAACCGAGCGATAAAGTTACTGAAAATTTCGATTGCTCAGTTTGTTGAGCTCAATTCGATTCTAGGCGAACGAATTATCTGTATTTGCGTTGCTCTGATTTTCCCCATGAACAACTGTGTAGGAGCCAGTTTGCCTTAGAGAGTTCTCCACGAAGGATCCTTTCCCTTCAGGCAAACTTCATTCGTGTGCTTTGTCATAACCAAATAAATCAAACATTAATAAACTGACCAAGCATCTATTCAGACCGTGCTAGTTTCTGTTGCTGATTGAGGAATGAACATAGAGACCACGCATTTTAAATAGTGTGGAACCATTTCAGTTACCTTTTCTGTCAACAATAATACTTATAATTAAAATGAATTAAATAATTCTAACTTAATTAGTAGGTTATTAAATTTATTTTATGCGACTTGACGCCCAACCGCGACTCTAACTGCCGTACCAAAAGACCTGGGTTCGAATTCTGGAGAAGGCATGGATGTTTTTAAATGTGCAGCGTCCGTGCGACACGTGGGCACTTTAAATATGCGGCGAGCAGAAAGTCCTCTGAAGAGGTTAGAGGTTGGCGGCAGGAAAGAGGGATGGGAGACTCTGGGACCCGTCGCCTCCCCTCCCCCCGAGATGCTTTCCGTCGAAATCAGGGGCAGAACTTAGCGAAGTCATACTGTCACCTATATAGTGCTCAAGGCTCTTGACACCGAAAAGCTCTTCCTTTCCTGGCCAAGATGAGTTTCGGGGGTAGTTTTTCGACGAGTGTAAAAGTATCTTTGAAACTGTCTTGTATAATAGTGCCTACTGGCGAATGTTTTGATTCTTCATCAGGTGTTATAATCAATTACTCTAAATCCACGAACCCGTAAAACTCTACAATAGGTGTCAGAAATGGGATTCGGAAGTGAATGTCAGTCACGCGCCTACAGGAGAAAGCTATGACGGAGGAAATGAAGGCTTTGATGGAGTTGTTAGCAGCTCTAAAAGCCGGGTGCAGGGTGGGGTGACCGTCTTACACGATGCCATTACACATTCGCCATCGTAATGATCTTATAAGGTATTTCTCCCGCCTTCTTAGTGAGCCCTCATGGTGTAGTGGCCTGCACGCTCAGCGCGTAATTGAGAGGTTCGCGGTTCGATTCCCGGCGAAGGCTCTGCATATTTTTCATCTTTCCTGCTTCTAAAAAATACCTAATGTCTCTACAGTGGCACCCGAACTAAAAGGGTGTTCGATGATGATTCTCCTCTCCCAGGAGTTGGCAACTGGGTCCCCTGAAAACTCTAGTCGCCCTTTAAAAAGGGGAGTATATCAGGTATTTATCCCGCCTTCTTAGAGAGCCTTCGTGGTGTAGTGGTCTGTATGCTCAGCGGTAACTGAGAGGTCCTAGTTTCTATTCCCGGCGAAGGCTTTGCATATTTTTCATCTTTCCTGCTTACAGTTAACCTAATGATTCTAGAGTCTTTTTCTTTGATGATGGACTGATAGTATCGTGTTCCAGGTTCTCTCCAGATAGAGATACCTCCAGAATCAGTCTCCAGACTAAATTTCAACTTATCTGTAAAAAGCACGGTACTCTACTGAAGTCTGGTTGAACGACCATGTTCTCTGCTTCATGCTAACGCACTTCCCTGTGTATTGCAATGAGCGGGACTCAAACAGCGGGTCGTCTGCCATACTTTGCTATCTCATTAAACCTTCGCAAACTTAGAGCACGAAACTGGACTTCCAGTGGCAGCATAAAGTTTACGTGAGGGCTTTGAAGCTGAAGTAGTCCTGTGTTGCCACACTGAACGTGCTAAATAACAATTCTTATTCGTTTTTATGTCTACTGAACTCTGCAGCCACGTAGGCTTGTGATTGTTCTGCTCCCAGTCTACTGAGAGGTCTTCATCAAATTCCTTCATCCATACGTTCGTGACTACTCATTTTACCTGACACTCCATAAAATTTACTCTACTCTTGCCAGAAACACGGCAAATGTCGTGAAGGAGTATGAAAATGTACTGTTGCTTATTCGACGCTGAATATTTGCATAATTTATACCTCGGATTCAATACGTTTCGTAAAAATACATATAGTTTGGAATTTCTCTCACTTTTGCGCAGGACTGTATTTACACTTTTCATTGAACATGGGTTTTGAGCTCGATTTACCAGCTATGGTCTCAACCCATGATCTCCTGAAGCGATAAAAATTGATGTCAGTATTTAGGTAAAAATTGAATTAGAATAGGAATTGGCCTAGACCACTAAATAGGTGTTAAATGAAAATGACACGCCTATAAAAGGAGAATGAAATAGTTATTTTGAACTCATAGAAATCAAATTCGTGTAAAACAAGTTCGTTTAAAAAAAGAGAGTTAAGTGAATTTCATGGTGAATGTCCTGCCCGGTTACAATAAAAATTATTTTATATTAAAAAAATACTAATACTTACCAATATCAGATGCGAGACATCTGATACATTTCTGAAAGAAGACACAAAATTCGTTTGCAACGTATATGAAACAAGAAAAATAAGAAATGACAGTCGGCTCAAAGGTATCCACATTGTCCTCGATAGTATATAATTTACGATACCTAAAAGAAGAAAAGGGATACATAATTAATGACTTTAAGAAGAAAATAATTATGAATCTACTAAATTTAGAAATATATCAAGGATCTTATAAATATTTCAACTGCATCCTGCAAAGCTAGTTTAAAAACAATCTTCTTATTTCTTTATAAAGACGTTCTCTTTCTTTGTTTCGAAAATTTTGTAATTTATTACGTAGAAATTGATCGTATCCTGACTCATTCTGGTAATATTTAAAAGACTATTTTATTGGGGAAAAGGTATTTAACTCCTGTAATTTTGATCTTCACTAATATATATATATATATATATATATATATATATATTGATTTTCTACTATTATTCTAAAGCAAGATGAAATTAGTTAACAATTAATTTTCATCGTCTCCAAGCAGATAAATTGTTTTCAATTAACCATATCCTGTAAAGTAAACGCGTGTTGATGCCTCAAGACAAGAAGACAAGAAGGAAAGTATCTAAAGACAAGAAGTGTACAGAACCTAATATTGATCACTTCCAGAAATAATGAATACTGATCGTTTTCCGTAAGTATATTTATTTTAAACAGCACTTTACATCGGAATTCTAATACACGTACATTGCATTATACGCTGTCAGTCGTTTAATTTGCATATTTCACGCGCTGTGCTATGCGCAGACGTCCAGTTGCGTGCTCATTTGAAAATAATTAGCATTAATGCATTACACTATTGGACATTCTTTCGAAAACACTTAATCAATAAACAAATCCTTTCTGTTTACCTCTTCATTTTAACAAGCATTGTAACTTAGCGGTATTGAACGGCTGCTCCAAAGAACCCAATATAATTTTATAATAGTTACCTTTATTTTATTTTGCTTTACGATTGCTAATAAAATCTCCCTTTTTAGGAAAAATGTGAAAAATGAAATGCAGGATATCGAATGGAAACAACTTAAGAAACCAACATTCTAAATTTCCTTTCTTCCTTTAACTGAAATTTCTAATATGTTGTTGTTATTCTAAATAGCAGGGCAATTTCAAATTCAAATATCGGGAATGACCAACACCCATCTGTCATTTAGCCTTTTCATCAACGAGGACGGAGGCGACCGAATATCAGTCGCCAGAAAGGGGCAATACCCTCTCAGTTTTTATAGAGAAGTTCCTGGATATATAAACAAGGGTCTCCCATCCCTATTTATATGACATCAATCCTCTCGAGAACACTTTAATCTCTTCAGGATTTTGAGTGCTCTCATGCCGCAAGATATCACATGCTTACCAACATCTAAGCCTTCTTCAGGAGTTAGTTAGTTAGTTAACGGAGGACGTGTGCACCACCCCTCTACCATTACCTTCTTCAGGAGTGAAACCCAGACTCGGATACAGTAACTACCATTGCTAGATACTGTATCGATCAGGATGGTAAATTTTATGACGTTTATTTGTATTGCTCAATATTTATCAATTTTACAGAAATGTGACTATTGATTATTTTAAAAACCGAAAAAGATGTGAGAATATGCCATAAAGATTCACACTATAGTTCATAAAAAGTAGTGTTTTATTTATTTATTCATTTATTTATTTTTGAACAAATGTTGAAATATACCTGGTTTGGATCATGATCAGAAAACGTTAGGGAAACAGCTATGAATACATATAGTGTGAGTTTTGACTCGTGAAATTTGTAAAGATATTTCTTTTGAAATGCGTTAAAGAGAGAGGTGCCACTATTTATTCAGAGTACATGCTATAAACGTATTCTATATTTCGAATGCTTTCGTGATAAATATCAATCTGTGAAATATATATAAACTGAATGAAAAGCTCAATAAACTTGAATAAAAAACAAATTGCTATTCAAATATCTGCATCATATCATGTTTCCTGTTTCTCTCTTTTTTCTGGAAACTAAACTGTGGTAAAAGAATGTGTTATCCGCCCCATGATTTGAATATTTTTCCGAAGTCTGAAACAACACTTTTGTTTCAGATGAATTATATACCATGATTATAGAGAGATAATCTGTAGTTATATAACATATAGTCTTTTCATATAATTTGCATGTAAATTTTCTCAGATTAACCTAGAATTATTATTACACTGATTGAGCGAATTGATCGATTCTTGAAATTTTAAGGCTCTCTTAGTTTGGCCAATGTAAATTAAACCACAATGGCAAGGAATCCTGTAAATACCCCAGGAATTCATATCCAGAATGGGGTCTTTGAGTATGGAACTCGAAATTTTATTTTTTAATATATAATTATATTTTTTGACTGCTTGATTAATAATGTTGGGTGAAATGCCCTTGTCAATAGTATTTGCTTTTAAATAATTTAGTTCTTCATCAAGGGCTAGTTTGGAGGAGCAAACTTGAAGAGCACGGAAAACATAGGAATAAAATGAAGCTAACTTTTGTTTAGTCAGATGACATGATTTAAAGTGTGGTGGAAGGCAAACCTATGAGGGTTTACAGTAAACCGTCGTACTGAAGTTGGATGTGTTACGAGTGACCAGAATGTCGAGAAACGGAAGAGAATTGGAAGCATCAAGTTCAAAAGTGAACTGAATAGCAGGATCATTAGAATTCATTGTTGAAAGAACTTTATTTAAATCATCTTTAAATAATCTGATCGATTCTTGTTATCTGGCAAAGCATATGACGGCTGTTTGGTAGAGAAAGTGACTGCTATCTATTAGACTGCTAATTGCTATTCCTTAGATTAGCTGACAAAACGTTTGACTGCTATCCGTTAGAGAGGCGTAATTCGCGTTTTCTTACGGAGGTCTAAAAGCACTACGTGTTGAGTAAATGCTAATGGTATTTAGATTATGATACTAAATTGGTATTGGGCAAGAATATTCAGTTTATAAAAATTTAGTTAAATATTGTTTCTTTTCTTTTCAAATTGGTCACTGCTCTCATTATCAACCGATTTCGATACTACGATGAATATTTTAATTTAACTGCGTCTATCACACGCTCTATTTTAATTATGGCATAAACATCTAAGATCATAACGAATCTCATTTCATAGCTATGACCCTCCCGTGAATCAGGAACAAAGCATAGAATGAAGAACTTTATACGTCTTATGTCCAAAGAGCCAAACGAGAGCTAGGATTGCATCGATGACAATGCTGATTATGCTCGAAGGACATTATTCTCAAAATGGGATTTTCAGTTGCTTCTTTAATGCATTGCTTCCCTTTTCATTCAAATCTGTTGCTTGCGCAAAATGTAACATATTTCAAATTTAATCTGTTTGCTGTTGATGAATAAACCAAGCTATTTAAAAGCAATAGATGTAGGTCTTAAGATTTTTTTTAAAAACTTTTGAAGCTGATTCTGTTAAAATGCATTTAATTCACGATATAACTAAACAAACATTAAATACTTTTATATAATTACGTAACAGACTTTCCACATATATAACGTTATATTCACACATAACGTTACATACGTCATAAGCTACATAATATTTCCATATTAATCTAGATACATATTCATCTAGTATCTTATAAAATGTTTCGCTATTCCATCTAGCTGTATTGATGACCTTTGTAGATATATTAGGTATTTTTGGAAATGAAAAATGGATGATGAAATGGGAGATGAAAAAATGAGCAATGCCCTTGCTGGGACTCGAACCACGGACCTCTAGATTACGCGTCCAGCGTGCTGACCACTACACTACGAAGACATGCTAAGAAGGCGAAAGAAATATCTTATACCTTTACTGATAAATCATATTAAACTTTAAAACAGGCCTTTTGGGCGAAAGTTGAATTCCGGCAATTTTCAGGTATTTTTTAATTTTAATTTTTCTCTTTTTTCTTTTAATGAAGGAGATTTTTTGCTAACACCTGATCCTTGGTGTCAGACAGTAAATGAATTATTTCACTACATTTTGAAGCGGCTCAGAGAGAATATGTTATGCAAGTACTCAATTGAAAGGACGGGGACTGCCTGTCTAATCACACCAATGAATTAAGCCCCATTGCGGTAAAGAAGTAAGAGATTTCAAAACAAATTAATCTGGCATTTGCTCTCATACTATGATTGAAGATTTGATACCTGTTTTGTTTTATTTTCAATGTTAGTTGGAAAACGATTACATTGTAACATTTACAAGGTAAAAAGAAAAGTCAGCATTTTGAAATCTTGGGACGCATAAATTGTAAAAATTAAATCGCGGAATGTGCTAGTCTTTAAACGGTCATTCACTTAAGTGTTTCCAAGAAATATTGCAATTCAGGCAGAGATGGATAAATGCGGAATGGAATTTTGAAAGGTTTGGAAATCAGATTTAAATCAGGAAAGTTTGAAAACTTGATGGTCCTTCTGCATTGCTCTTTTGCTCAAACCAACATAAGAATGCATTTAAATCTATGAGCCGCCCAACCGGGATAGTGGTTAGTGACTCTAAATTCACTACAGAAGGGACCGGGCTCGAATCCTGGAAAAGGCATGGATGTTTTCAGAGTGTCTGTGCTGCATGGGGATACGCTAAATATGAGGAGAGCCAAACGTCCACTCGAGAGGTCGATGAGAGGGAGAGAGGGTTGAGAGAGCCTTGGACCCGTTCCCCCAGGGAGCATTCTCACAAAAATTTGGAGCAGAACTGAGCTAAAGTCGGGTTATCACCTATATAAATCACGTTAAGTTTCTTACCAACGACGGGCACATTGGACTCTTTCCTTGTGCTGACCAGATAAGAGAGAATGGTAACAACACAATAAATTTACGTAAAATTATAACCCAATGAATGTTTGTATTGCTGAAGGAAAAGATATAGTTTTTATATTTACTTTACTAATATTGTTGAATTAAACAGTTTCAGTTCTCTGTTTTTTATTAAAATGAAGACGATTAAAATTTTTGCTTTAAACAAATTTACCAAATAATTGTTTTTATGTATTAAATGAAATCATAAGTATTATATACATCACAAATAATAAATATACTAAAGAATTAATATTATTATAGATGATATAACCTCCATGTCCTGTAGCACAGCAGATCGCTACCCATGCCACGCCTATAGTAAATGTTGGTTTTGCTAAGCTGGCAAATAAAATTCTTTCCAAATCAGTAGGCATCACACCACCGTTCCATTTCTTCCTTCCAAAAATTGCGCTGCACCCGAAAATGAAAGAAAGAGGCCATCCAATCCATAATGCAACCTAAAATCATAAATTATGTTTCCTTATGCTCGGATAGAGTAATTTAAAATTTCTACTTTGTTATTCGTGCAAAGTTTATCAACATAAGTATTAAAATAAATAAACTTGTATGACTATCTATACTTATATAATACATTGCCTGGCAAAAACATGCCGCATCATGAAGATATAAACGCATTTCCATGCAAATTTCAGTGGCCATGCATATGTGTCTTTTATAAAATTAATTAATACATGTTCTAGCTTATCAAATCACCTAGTAACAAAAGGGACAGAAACATCCAAACAACGCGCAAAGTTATCAATAAGAATTTTCCTTCTGTTTCTGAGACTGGTGAAAGGAGAAGACAAAATGCTTTTAAGGCGTCTTCGTATTTAGTATCACTAAAGAGACGATATCAGAAAATGTTTCCTTTTAGGCGTACGTACCACTAATTGGCTTTACACCATATTGTGGAGCAAATGGAGATAGATGCCTCAACTGTGTGCTGAATTTGGCGAAACTTCACCCAGGACAGAAATGGTGTGCTTTTCTAGACAGAGTCGGGATCGGGATCTATACCTTGCCAACAGGTCTTAACTTCAAAGAGTTTTTACCAGTAAGTTAAAGTTTGCACTTGTAACATTTGCTTAGTTTGTTTGTGAAAGATGCACGATAATATGCACCATCGCACGAGGACGAAAAACAATAAAATGAGAGTTCATGCCATGATGATAATCAAAATTATCTAAAAGTACGAAATTTTTCAAAGTGTAGTTGCGGAGGCTGAGCTTGCAGTGGCTCGTGACGTGGAGAGCATCGGTGATTGGTCTTCTCTTAGAAAGCATTAAGACAACGAAGAAAGCTTATTTTGCTGTAAATATCATATTTAATGATAACGTGTTTTCCACTAATAAATAGTCTCTAGTATTGTGGAAAAATACAGAAAGTCCATAAAAATGCAGTTGAAATTAATTAAAAAGAAAAAATATGCACTTAGGGACGTGGCTGGGCAAGCGCCAATGCACTAGCGTAGTACGAGTCATGCAAAATAGCACCATAAATAGAACCGTGTGGAAATAAATGTAAATTAATATTAAGGTAGTTAAACCTTAACCTATTAACATTATAAACAATTTGCAATCATTTTGTAGTTGCTTGATTTAAGATAAAGGGTGCAAGAAAAAGATAAAAATATAGAATGCTTTTGCAATAGGCAAAGTTTTGTTTCTTTGTTTGTTTAACTTACTATAGACAAGCATAAGAAATAAACGAAGGACTGCATCCTTTTTCACAATTTCCAAATAGCACTCTTTTCAAAACAGTTTTTAAACTTAAACTGTAAAATTTTGTAGAGATAAAATTATTTATAGTTAATATTTATCAAACTCTGTTCACGCTTTACTAAAATGGGAATTACTATAAGCTATAAAACATAAATAACTATCAGATCAGCTACTATTTGGGACATTTTTACAACTAATTTTAAACTCATATTAATGTTAAAATTTTCGTGCATCTAACTATAGCTGAAATTTTTTGATTAATTATACACACTATATTAAAAAAAATCAAAAATCAAATGAAATTCGCAGATACCAGGATATCTCGTTACTTGGTTATGGGAAAGGATGAGAGAAATTTTGTCTAGGAGGTTAGATGTTGTCATGAAGATTTTTTGAACATAAAACAAAGAGAGGGAATAAAAACTCATGGCAGCTATATGAAATATTAACAAGGAATGTAGTGGTGATATGGTCCACAGAAAACTGACTACTATAGTTCCTTAAATTTTAACTATACCTCTTTGAAGAAAAGTTTGCGACGTTATAAATGGAAATTTAGAGGATATGAAACCTGTGTTACAAAATTAGGTTAAAATTTTTACTGCAAAATTCTAGGAGCATAATTTCTGTTATTTATATTTAAAAGAAGTTTTAAAAAATATTTAAAATTTTGTATTCAGAACTTTAATATTATGTTTTATGTTTATTTTTGTTTCCTTAATCATGCTGACAACAAATGAGAGACAGTGTTATGGACTGATAAAAAATTATTCTTTACTCACTTTTGGCATATTCGAAATTTTATTATAAATATATATTTAGGTTGGATTGAAAGAGACTTCAATAATTTTTCATGTAATCTTAATTTTTAAAAACTTTTCAAAACTGCGACTTTCTTCTTGAAGATGCTTTAAACATTTCACAATAACTCAGAGGTATAAATCAAAATATTTGGGATCATGGTTATTAAAATAAATAAAATAAAGCTTAACTTGAATAGGTTATAAAATTAAAAGGGAAGGATAGAGATTTTAAAAATTATTTTGTAAACCAACTGCATCCTCTAAATAAAAGTGAGTAAGGTAAAAATTAATGTAATTAATTAATGAAATATAGAAAATATTGGAGAAAACAACAAGCCATGCAACTGTAAAATGAAAATTAAAAGGAAATATTTAGGAACATACCCTTGGAATTTTAATCTGTTTTTTCGTGGTTAGTAAATATCCCACTAATATGCCTATAAAGTACTGTGAAGCATTCATCCCTGGGTGAGCATGTACATTCCAATAGTCAAAAATTGCTCTGAAAGATAAAACAGCTATGAAAGCACTTGAAAGGCAATTGTTTCTATCATTCATAAGCATAATACACATTAGTAAAATTATAGTAGCTGGTAGACAAGCTAAAAGTGGTACAACTGACAAAAATTTGAAGGAATACAGTATTATCAAGCCGTTGGCATTATAATTTGCTTATGCAAATGCTAAATAATACGCAAGGACTATTTGTAAGGAATGGCTTCGTAAGGGGTGGGGGTATGAATGAAATTAGTTCCGATTTATGTTATACATACAAAAAATTACGAAAATACTCCTCCGGTAAGTACCTGATTTCAGCGGGTTTTAATTGTTCAGTCATTGGTGGGGCCACTTTATGACAGAACTTTTGGAAAGGACTCCCAATTCTTTTATGTAGGTAACTCTGACATTTTTTAGATAGAAGTAGATAATGTGCACTAAAAGAAAACTGTTTGTTTGATGTGTTAATTAAAGTTTATTTTTTTCGGTAGACGATAATTTATGGCAGCAATTCCAATTTATCTATCGTAGAATACATTTTGAAAGAAAGAAAATAGAGCCGACTCAAGAATATTAGAGCTATTCGATTTTCTATGATTTTAAAAGGGTCTAAATCCAGAATACCTTCACAGTCTACAATCAGCACGTCCAAATGAAGCTCCTTTTCGTGCCACTGCCTTCAAATGGTTTGCAGAATTTCGTAGAGGCCGAAATTCTGTCCCTAGATTTAAAGAACACGCAGGAAGACCTTTGTCTACAGTAGTCCCAGAAAATGTGGCAATCATACGAAAAATGCTAATTAATGAATCGCTGGACCCACTGAACGATACAAGAGGAAATTATCTTTGGATCTGCAGCTTTACACACGCTGCATTTGAAAATATATTTTGTCTTCAATCCCGTATAAACTAACTTAATACTTTTACGTGGAATGTGTCAGAATAATTAATGAAAACTTAAAATCACCAAATGATCAAGTATATCACGTTATTTCTAAAATTATATCTGGTTACGAAACTTATATACTGTTTTTTTTAAAGTACGTTTTTTCAACGCTCCAAGAAAGTACAATTTTTCAAGATAACCACTAATAAACAATGGTGAAACTAAAAAGAGTAATTTAAAACGTAAACATAATGTATCTTTTTAGTTAAAGCCAGCAGGTTAGCGGAGCATAAGACCGTTACATCTAACTGTTTCAGCATTAAGTGTGTTTCAGAAGTTCTTCAGGAAGTGAAAATAGAGTCTCGTGTTTCGCCATGATAATACATCTTCTCATTCAGCAAATTTGATAGTTAAATTTCTTGTGTGCGGGGTGGGGCGCATTACAATAATCGGATATTCAATCTGTCCTGATCTTGTTATATGTGAACTTCGGTTACTTTTTAATCTAAAACAAAATTCACATTGCCGATCTTTTCATTCCGAAGATGATATGAAGGAGACTGTAAAAGCATATTTTACATCAATTCCAAGAAATGCATGGCTTAAGCCATTTAATCTTTAGAAAATTCTATCAAGTGCATTGACGTTAGAAAGGACTTAATTTGGTAAGATTGACCTGTAACATTTAACTGTATCTCAAAAATTTTCAGGTTTTCCCCAGTATGCTTGTAGAAATAATAAAGCGAAATTTAAAAAACGAAGTGCATAATTACTGAAGCTTGATATTCATTTTCTCAATCTAATTTGACAAAACATTTTTGAATAATACTTCAGATCCCTTATTTTTATCGAGAATCTTTCTCACCGTATAGAGAGGAGATTATTTTAAAAGTTAACATAGAAAATACTGAGCAATGAAAAGCTAAATGTTTTCCAAAAAATTAAAAATCTGCCACAGAGGCCGTGTTTTATTTGAAAAGAAAAATAATTTTAAACAAACTTTAACTGAATATCAATTAAATTTATTAATCTGCTAACTAAAATGATCTAGTACGCCCAAGTTCTAATTGATAAACGGACCTTCATTTTTAAGAACCTTATTTAACATATAGGTAAAGCGTGCAAAACTCACATATGTATCCAAAGCATCATTTTAATTTTCTTCTAAATAATTTGCCCTATTTAAAAATTATAGAAATATAAAATCATAAAAACTAGCATTTAACTGAACCTGAATTTAGAAGTTTAATAATGTTAATCACAATTAAATATATACGATTTTTAAATTTTGCACAAGTATGGTGAATTTACCACTCGATCACAAATTTTTACACATAAACTCATACACACTTATAAACTCAGATGCACTGGACAGTTATCTATTAAAATTTTATTTACACAGTAAAGTAGAGCTAGCAATCATATAAATTATTTATAGCTTATAAATGCCATCATCTGGGGTGCCATCATCTCGGTCTGTAGGTGAAATATTCGCAAAGGTGTAATAATTCTATAATACAACAAATAATAATATAATTCAAACAAATTCTATAATACAGTTTAACAAAGTACTAGTTTAAAAAAATTCTGAACAGTAGTCGAATAATTAATTCCACAAAGCTGTGTGACCTGCCGTTATCGAAGTAGAATACCAAGCAAAATTTCAGAGTGTTCTGTTTGAAAGGGTTTTCAGGAACACACTAATGTTAAATTTAATGTCTTGTTAGTCTTTTCCTGTCTACAAGTTCGAAAGGTAGCAATCTGGAAATGTACAAGGATAACACATCAGGTGGTTTCATAGAAAGGGAACATAGGTCTGTACTCCGTATCGGTAAATTATCTTTTTCATCTCTTCATCTTTCCTTCCTTACCCTTTTATCTCAAAAGTAAACTCAGACCAAGAGTCCGAACTCTACTCAAATCACCTTTTCAATTCTTTTCTTCCCCAGACTAGTCCTCTCCCTTTTGGCGCCTCAAAATTAAACCACGTATGTCATTCTGCTGCAGAAAACTTCATCTTTCTCTCCTTTTTTATTCTCCTTCTTTTCTCTCGTTTCCATCTGATTATCAAAATACTCCTACCGTCAATCTGAACTTTACTCTTAAGTTCATCTTATTTGACGGGTATTTCTTCTTACCCCTTTTTTCAACTGTTTCACTAGTTACCTATTTTTTAATTATGAATGGAAATTGAAACTTACCGCAACAATGCCTTAGGTCGTCTTACATTGTTAGCAGGAAGTCTCGTACCACGTGCTCGGATCCAGTTAGGAATACCCATTTCTTACTAAAACGAGTACCATCTGCACCCGACAGCAATTTTTAATTTTTCCTCAACTTTCCGACTTGCAACGGGTGACAAAAGGCAGATCAAGAAAGCGATTCTAAATAAAATATCCTGCGCAGATATTCTGTCTATATAACACTTTACTGCCACGTTCAAGAGCAATATCACAATGACAATAGCCGAAAACTGCAAAGGAAAAATATTTTTTAAATTGCCGCTTTTTTAATCACTCGTGCAAGGAACATTCGCTCATTTTATTAATTTTATCTAATTCCAGATCTGTTGTACATTCCCCTTAGAAGTCGAATCTGAACAAAAAAATTACTGTCCTACAAAGTAACGTTCATTCATTTGCATCGAGTCCTTAGCGAACTATAAAAGGATTTAACTAGACTATCCTTCTGCAAAGGAATCTTTGTAGAAATATTTTTTCTCGGCACTCGGAATGACAGCAAAACTTTCCATCTTTCATTTCAAAGAGCCAGAAGCAGAACAGTTATGCCATAGGAATAATTCGATTTTGGCAACCGAAGTCAAATGAAATAAGAGATATCGCTTTTTTTTTTAATTTTTTTTTATGAAATCTTCTTTTGGACATTAATCAAACTAGTATTTACAAAACTTTGATTTAACGTGTTTGATATTCTAAAATTTAGAATTCAAATCACGAAAAGAAATGCTGATACATTTAAATTTTCGAATCTCAAGTCTTCTCTCGAGTCTTTACCAAAGTTCGAGTATTCGAATGTCCCATTCCTAATTAACACCATCTTCATTTCAGAATGTCTTAAATCTTAATGAATTTTGCCTGTATATTTTATAATCATGACAATATAAATCTCAATCTTTTATAAATGTTTTCTGTAATATTAAGTGTTATTAATTCAATCGAACTTTTGTTCTTAATTTGGGATCGTGTTCATGATATAACTTATACGTTCATTGCTTCATCTATTGGCTATGCTAGATTATATTTATTCGATCTGGCAGCTACAACAAAGGTAATTTTAATTTTATCTTAAACATTATGATCATTTAAACAAGTTACCTATTATTTCTAATATAATTTCCATATTTGAGTTTTTTATTGCATATAAATGGCATCAGTAAAAATAGTATAATCAATTATCTTACACCTGATTCTTCCTGAAACCTGATTTTTTAAACCTGAATAAACATTCTTAAACTCGTTTAAACAAGTTACCTATATAATCTCAATATATGCGTTTTTATTTCATATAAATGGCATCAGTAAAAATAGTATAATCAAATTTCTTAAAACTGTAATGAGAAAGTAATAATTACGAATACTTACTGCTTGTCTGTGTACGACGTGACAAGCGAAGGTGGGAGATTATAAAACCACGTATAAAAAGCTGAGAACGCAATAGACATCAAAATAATGAACGCATTTAAGGGTATACCAAACCTGGGCCATCTGAAACAGATTTATATTTTAAATTAGAACTTAAACACGCATTACGAATCTAAAATGTGACGATGATTAAAAAATAAGCTACATTTAACTGCTTCAAATTTGTGGAGCAGCTAGAAAATATAAATTAATACAAATATGTCATACTACTTTTCAACATATCTACCCATTTTCTGCAATCATTTATCTGAACATTCTAGCAAATGTTTGTTTCCGAGATGACAGAAATCTGCTCTAGGTCATGGAATCATTGTAAAATAGCTGTTCATATCTGTTCATCAATGCAAACTTTAATGTACCCAAACATTAACTCCTATACTTTTTCCCGAAATTATAGCATATATCATTACCCTGCAGCCTCAGTCCATTTCTGACCGATGTTGATTTCCTTTATGCTGGTGAATATTAATTAAGTCTGCGCTGCTATGCTCAAATAACTTTCCTTACTGGCATGATGTTTTTTCCCTAATAATCTCTAAACTTTCAGTTCCAACTTTAATACGGTTAATAATATTTTCCCACAAGACTCGCAGTGTTTCTCATTCTTTGACATACGTCCATAACGAGTCATTTTACTTCCTTGCTATAATCTATGGCTATGAAAGTGTTTCCGTACAAAAAAGGTGAACTGGGGTGATGTACCATTTTATTGAACGTTTCTGCCATATGATAGCAAAAGTTGTAATTTAGGGTTGAATCCCTCACAAATCTGATAAGCAGAGACAGTAAGAAAGAGTTAGATATTTTCGAGAATTATTATCTGAGCTTATCGGAAAATTAAAAAAAAAGTTAAAAATTTTGTGGCTCTAAGAATATTTTTTACATCTGGAAATGTAGAAGTTAATGAGTGAGAGAAGTAAGCTAGTCTGTATAAATAATGGCATAAACATTTTTGAGAAAAATTTAATTATTTGTATTTTGGAACCTCAGGAAATGAATTTCGGTCGGATTCAATGCGTGATACTAGAAACTAAAATAACGTATATCTTTTAAAGAACACAAATGATATTAGCAATAACCAGATTAAATTGAATTTACATGCAATATAAAAAATAATAATTAAATTGCCTAAAACAGAGAAAAATAATTCATAAGAAGAAAGAGTCTAACATGTCATTTTACAAAGACTTAAAATTAGCCGAAATTGTTCATACACTTGCAGCAGAGGGGAATTTATAATATATTTTACTTAATAGTTCTATATTCAAAATTTCGAATGAGTAAATTACAATATATTTTCATTCTTATTTGGAATGAATACAGGGTGAATAAAAAATACGTTGTAGAAATGTAAGGGCAGACACAGATGACCGGACAATTTTGTAACGGAATGTGCGTACGGAAATGACATATGTATTATATACAGTTACATAAAATAGGTAAGAAACATAGATAAATACTAAGAAGCTAAAAGAAATAAACATTTTATTGATTCACCTTTTTACAGAAGGTGCTTGAAAATAAGTGCTTCTCAATAATATAGGATTCCCAGTAGCGGTAAATATATTTGAATACTTAGCGATTCGCCAGTTGCTGCTCGGGAATCATTTTCCGTACATGCTTTGAACAGGTACACGGAAAATTATGGAGGACACTAGCGATGTACCATGGATCAACTGGTAATACCTTATTGTACTAACTAAAAAAATTACAAGGTTTATAAGAGTTCACAAAGAAAGGTTGGGGAAATGAGTAGCTGAAGTTTTCTAAAGGATCTAGAGTTTTTACCTATGGTACACTGCGCAGTCTCATCGTACACCCTGCATCCAGTATTCGTTAAAATCAATGAATTAGGGCATAAAGAGATTGCAATATAGTTCCAATGCAATTTGAAATTCACAAATAAAATTGAGACCATCTGCTTCCATGTAGCGTGATGGCGTCCGTTTTTACACACATTCCTAAAGGCCAATGTCCAGTCGGAAATATATACCCGAGTAAGTAACACTCGACGTGTGCGGCGCCTACATCAGTCCAACTTTACAAGGATACATATCGTTGGCAGGTTAAACAGATGTCTTCATCGCCTCCGGCAGAAGTCTGAATCAGCGCTTTGTTTATTTCTATAACATATGCCGGGAACCGTTTAGAGCTTTTGCTACTATTTTAACAAATATAGTTTAGGATGCAACACCAATTTCAGATCATAATATCCTGCTGATTTCTCTATAAATGATGAAATTGTTTTCGGTAATGTAAGTTATTTGTTATTGTAAGCTGTAAAACATTAATTTTTTTTTTACCTTTTTCAAATTCTATGTACATTTGATCATATTTCTAATTTTCTATTGTTTATGATTTTTTACCCTTTAAACTTGGTCTAACTAATTCATCGCTTTGATCATTTACCGAAACGTTAAATTTGGCGTGGATCATCAGATTGTAAGTTTGAATCCAGCTGACTTTTCCACTAAAGGCAAATACTTTATGAATTTTAATTGACATAATTCTGAAAATATAAAATTTATTAAACGTTTTACATGTAATGTTTCATAATTATATGTAAAATATAATAATTGTGTATCAATATATTAATTATTTGTATATAAATTTTATATTAATTATCTAAATATAATTATTAGATTTTTAAAGTTATTTATAGTGATAAATTTCTCTTTTCTCTTGCATGTATTTAGAATCGGCCAAACTCCAGTACCAAGAGAGAAAATGATCCATCTGCTTCAGGAAATTAACGACCTCCTAGAGCGAAAGTTTTGCTCTTCCCTTGCACACTGCAGGGAGTTTTCACACTTTCCGAAGAAAGCATTTAAAACGTCTCCCTTTTCAAAAACTGAGAGGTTGTTACTCAATTTCACTTTTCGAAACCAACTAGTAGCCAACAGACACAGAATTGGATATAACAAGAACAAGTAAAGAATATCTAATAAGTAGACTAATTACTCGAATAACAGTAATAAATGCAAGAACTAGCAAAGAAAAGGTCTTCGTAAACACAAATATTGCCATTAGAATCATCTTTCCTTAATTACAAGAGCAAATAGTATTATAAATTACCTTTAAAGTTTTCTAGAAATATTTTTGGTTAAAAGTAAGGATGTAAATGTTTATAGAAATTATCAGTTTGATATATTTGTTTCCGAAGAGCTGGATATGTTATAAATTACAATAGTGATATTAAAAATATATTTTCATAGCTTCTAAATTACTAGAATTAGATAAGCTAGATAAAGGTTTAATTTGAAAAGTAAAGTGTTCTCTGACATACATCACGCTCTTCTCTTCAACTGCTCACAGCAAAACAAGTCTCTGAGTAATAACTGCTTTTGGCAGTCCCATGCAACGCCATTGTATATAACACCCCCGCTATCTACCACAACGCATGGTACGTACCTAGTCTCCGCGGAACAGCGTTACCAAAATGTTATTTACAATTCATATATGCGCTAAAACAAATAGAATACTTACTTCAGAAGGACTGGTATGGTAATCTGTGAAGCCAAATACAGTTGCATATCAACAGCCAAGTACCAAAAATGACCAAGGCACTAAAATAATATAAAATCAGAGCAAAAAGTGCACAGGTTTTAATTTATATAAGAAACGATTCTATACAGAAAGAGGAGAGTGGATAATCAAGTAGTATGCGATATAGAGCTTTTATTTATTTATTTTCTTGTTTTTAGATTGCGCGTCTAAAATGGGCAGTTATTTAAATCGTTTCCTTTTGCCGTTATTTTATCGTGCGTTCAAATATGAAAGTTATTAATTGTTTTTTTTTTAATTTTATGATGCTATAATTGTTGCGTTATGTAACTACTGAAATTTAATTTGGCTAACGAAAAGAATAAGGGGGACGCGAAATATTACGATTTCCATGTATGCTAATGATTTTACAGCACTAAACCTACTTTCGCATTGCTTCGTAATAATTTTATGCTGGCAATGTTTTGATAAGAAGAATAAATGTTATGTAACAGTAATGTGACAGCACTGATATAATAGTATTGTATCACATAATCTATACAATGTTTAGTCTGCACAATGCCTAGACTATGTGAAATGTCGAATTTATATAATTCTGTGACTTTCTAACTATTTTTTAGCAATTCTGTGTACCTCTTTCCTAAAAATCTCATTCAGATCTTCATTAGATTCTTTAGCCTGCATATTTTATATTTTTCGGTGAATGAACGGGGATTTTGAGTAATTCGTTAAAGATAAGGCTAAAAGTCTATGATATGAAGCAACACTTGAAGATGTTTCTGTTAATTTGAATCTATGGCGCTTTAGTTGTAATAAAGCTACTCACGCTTATTAAAGATACTAATAATTAGCAGCAAGAAACAGGGTAAATGAGCTTAATTTAGCCCGACTGCCATTTTGGAAGTCCAGTAGAACGTTTCCTTTCAGCTGCAAGAGTAAAAGTAGCGACAGAACTGTTTAACTGATAACAATAGATTAAAAAAATTCAAGAAATTTCTAGATAAAAGGTAGCAAAACAAAGCCACTGATGCTATTGTTTGAAAATGTTATTAATTTCGTTAGTTAGTGTGGAGTCCCTCGAAAACATTGCGGTGAAAATATCGAGAAAACAACGTCGTACAAGTACATCATGGAAGAAAATTTCTGAGGAATTTCGAATTTCTGAGGAAAAAAGACTTGCGTGGTAAACATTTAACAATCTTAATAAGAGGACCATTCATGAGCAGACCTCATTTGGCAGGATACATAAATGTTTTCGCCTCCGTCCGTTACTTTTTTTTTAAATTCTTAATAAGCTGTTTTGATGATGTGGCATGTTCACATGGTCACATCATCTTGACCGCACATGTTACTTTCGCCGAATTCCCAAATGTATCCGTCTTCTGTTCCACACATTTGTGTAAAACTGTGTTATAATTTTACACAAATGTATGGTTACAAATCAAGGAAAAAATAACTTATTGGCATATCTGTGTGTATATTTATTAATTTTGACTAGGATTGCAGAATTTGGTGGTAATTTTATTTTTTAATTAACCCAAATAAGTAAAAAGCGTGAACCCAAAGTGATTATTTTTCAGTTATATATAAATAAAATGTTGAGTTTAAAATTAGCAACTATAATGCTAAATTATAAATCCTCTAAAAATTTTTAAAAGGTACATGTTACAATAATATGTGAATGACAAAAAAAATTATTTTATTTAAAACATTTTGGCGTTTGAACATAAAATAAAAGTAACGAATATTCTATCAAGGGTATCGAAATACGTATACAATTTAAAAGACATAGTAAGATATTTTTCATTCTTTAAGCATAAGATTTTTTGCTAAAATCTATATTATTGTAGTTCAGCAGCTTAGAATTTTAAAAAAAGAAATTCATAATGAAAATTGCTGTTGTTAGTTATCGAAAAATAACCAAGATGTGATTTTTGCGTAAATGTCACTAAACTATCAAATTGCTATTATCCATCACACAATAAATGTTTCTTTTATGCGGAAATGTCCCGTTTTTCGATTTGTATTGAACTGTCATGTGTGGAAATACTATCGAAGCGCTGTCAAGTGAGCTTCTGAATGTAAACAAAAAACACCCCATCTGGAGACCGAAGCTTCGAAGCAGTGCTTCACTCATAGTACCGGCTTGTTCCCTCCTTCCTTTCTTACGTCCATGGTTAACTATTAATGGTAATTTTTCATGAGAAGTATAGTCTAAAAATATTAGTTAAAGGAAGATGAGTAACAGCATGATGTCATTTATATTAAAAATGTTTAATTAATTATTAAATTGTAAAATATTTTCTTTCACCTTTGTTAATTTGATATTCTTTTAGTAAAAATTAATTCTTGTTTTGTTTCAGTTTCTTCATCTTCCTAGAGTGTCATTAATATTTTCACGTATTGTTGTTGATTTCATAGTTCATGTACTGAATGTTGATTTCATAGTTATGACGAATCGTGTCAGCTACATAACATTTCAGTAAGTAATTTAGATTAATTGGATTACGGGTAAAGCAGTCTAGGCATTTCTATTTAATGGAAGGTATGTCTTTGTGAAAAGCTTTCTCAGGAACTTACTCGCATTCACATTATGCACTAAGAAAATCTGGAACACCTATCTCATTCAGTCAGCTCGCTCACCGGGTCGAAATATCAGTATTCGACTATTATTAAAAACAATATAGTTTCCAATAATATTTCCCTACTAAACTGGTCAACAGCGGCTGAGCGGCGAAGTCACTGAACACTGGTTGTTCGACCTGGTGAACAAGCTGACTGCACAAGATTTCGGAGATTTTTTTGAGTAATTTTCGCTGCAGAGGAAAGGAAAATCTCGTCTTTTGGTCAATAATGATTGTGTAATGAAAACATATTTGTTTTATACTTACCGATTCGCCTACTGGAAACAAATTATTTATGAAAAGGATATTTCTCCACCATTTCTCGTCACAGCCTCTTGCGTAGTCATAAGATATTGATGAGAACATAGGACCATTATTTAAAGTTTGCAGCACCATGACAAAAAATATAGCGTAGATATATGCTGGATATATTCTACAAAAACACATAATTTTAAGTCTGAAATGTCAATGCAATTCTAACAATGCTTAAGTATTACTTATTATTCTATTTTATTAGTATTACTTATTATTCTATTTATATCAATATTTTAAGGCTTAAGTATTACTTAAAATATTGATATAAATAGAAAACTTAAAATTGTAAATATTAAGCTGTCTTTTGGCAACTGTACTTATAATTCTTATTGCATACTGTTATCATAACTCAAGCCCACCAGCGGCCGAGCGGTAAAGTCGCTGAACACTGGTAGTTCGGTCCGAGGTTCGAATCCCGCGAACGGGCTGGCTGCATGGGCGTTTTCGTAGTTTTCCCCATGTGTAACGTGTATACGAGCCAGTTTCCCTTAGAAAGTCCTCCACGAAGGCATCCCTCCCCTTAGGCAGATAGCCCTCGAGGCTTTTCCATAATCACACATACACACACATTTATTATAACTCAAAGAGTATACTGAGATTATTAAACAGATAAAATATTGATATAAATAGAAAACTTAAAATAAAATTGTAAATATTAAGCTGTCTTTTGTTAACTGTACTTATAATTCTTATTGCATACTGTAGAATTCAAAGAGTATATTGAGATTATTAAACAGAATCGGAATGCAAATAACCTTGAAAATTGAAATAATATGCTTATAAATAATACATATTAACACTAGCATCGCAGCATTTTCGGTTTCCCTCTAAGTACGGTGAGTGGCAATTTAGTTAGTGGAGAATATTTATTATTTTTGAAATTTTTAATAAAAATATATTAAAATTTAGTTCATTAAATTAATTTTTGTTACGAGATTAACAATCATAAAAAAATCTAGTTTGTTTTTATTTAACAGAACATAACAACAATTTCTCTATTACAATAAAAGTCCTCAATATTAATCTTATACGCTTAACAAAATTTTTTAAATTTAGATTTGGTTGAATAATATATATATTTTTAAATAACATACGAGTATATAGAGTTTTAAAAGTAAAATAAATTGCTTACGTAGAAATTTAAAATTAAAATAATTCATCTTTGCATAAAATTAGTAACGCAACAACCTTGAGTTCGCTTATATTTAGTCAAGATCTCAGTCGATTTCAAGGGCACACAGGTACAGATACCTCATCGTCAGGAGCAAAGAAATCTGCAAGACTGCAAAGCAAGATCTTAGATCTTCGCTTTAGTAAAATCTGTACGGCCTGAAAAGGCCTTTTACTAGTGTCTGTTTCATAATTCCCTAGGGCTTCAAAAGAAGAAAAAAATAAAAGCCCAATTTTGGCATGTGGACCCTGGAACATGTTGGTAAAGACCGGCTTATAGACTTTCGGACTTTAACCGGTTAGCATGGCAAAATTTCTGCCCTAAGGTGATGGTAATAGTTTGTAACGGAAGCGTTAAAGAGCGAAATGGCGAAATGCAAAAGCACGTTTCAGGTATTCTGTTGGCCGTGGAAATAAAGTAGACTGCCTCATCTCTGTTGGGAAAAAAATTCCGGAGCCGTAACGCCACCTATCAGTAAAAATAGTAACGAAATTGAAAAATTAAGGTAATAGAATTTTAAAAGCGTTAGGAAGGACAGTACTGGACTTAACTAATCAGTTTACTAAGCAAATTAGATCTCTGTATATGTGGAAAGCTTCAAGAAAATCCAATTCACAATTGAGAAGGCTTTTTTTTTCCTTCCCTTTTTGCAGGCCCAGAGTCAATTGATGAATTGGATTAGAAATTCTCTGAGGTTTTGAGAGTCACGAATGTTTAAAATAATTTAAACACTTTAAGTAATCCTAATGTTTTCAAACAAACTCAGAAAATTTTTGCTCAACATCAAGAGTTCGGTACTGCTGGTATACATGTGACACATGCAAACTGACCAAAATTCAAGAACATAGAGTTGTGAACACTTTGATATCCAATAGTCATTATGAATTTATGTATAATAACTTATTATTCGTAATTTTATCAATATTAGATTTGTACTCTTACCTCCACATACGATAAAATATGTACACGAAAACATTCGATTGTCGTTTCTTAATTTCAAGTTCTTTTACTCTCGAATAGCAGTTGAGCAATCCTCTGAAAATTTTAATAAGCACAATTTTAGAAAACATGAATGAAAAAAGACGTTTTACTTGATTTAGAAATAATAAATTAAAGTTTCTGGGTCATGAATCCTAAAGTAATAGATTTTTCACCAATATAGAGTTTGTTCACATGTTTTTTAGACGATTTTCATTGTATTTACAGAAATATTTTACCTAAACTTTTGTGTTTTAAATGTTTTGTTTTATAACAATTATTTTTAATATCTTTATAAACCATAATTTCCAAGACTTTGCAGTATCGGGAAAGGTATTTTATCTCATATTCCAAGGAGTGTTGTAGATCGACGTCTGGGCATCAGCTTTTTAACATTCGGAAAGCGCAAAAATCCATGGCTATCGGGAGATTTAGTAGGGATAATGGGTGATGAGCTACTTGCTTTGACTTGATGCAGTTCTACTGAGTGATGGCAATGTGGGTAAAGAGAAGATATTTCATATTTGAAAATCTGGGTTAACATATTGGTACGGATTTTGTATCTATTTAGTTATTTTTAGTAGAATTTGTAATTACAATTGTTTCATTTTCCCCTGCAATATTGCACGCGCGACAAGTTTTAAGCGAAACCTACGCCGAAAAAATAAAAATACAGGAGCGCGCGCATCTAACATTTAATAAATAGATATCTGGCAATTGTACGCTTTGCTATCTAATGTGATGAACAACCAAACTAAAATGTGATGAACGACAATTATTCGACTCCTGGATTTCGTTTGCTGGGTATTGACTTCTTTCCAGTCGTCCCAGGGAGAATGTATGCAATTATAGCGCTCTTTAGTCCAGGCTGTTATGGTATAACGAACAGCATATTTAACTGGAAGTTTAGAGATCTGTGCTTCGAATCACATAACATAATTTATTTTGAATGTTCCCACGTACAAAATGTCTAATGTCCCTCCTGAGGCATCTAGACTAAAGTGGTGGACTACAGTCCGTCGACAAGTAGATTTAGTTACTGGGTCTCATCTTTATTCCCAGTCATCTTCTAAATGGGAAAGAATATAGGCAATTATCGCATTCCTCCATACTTGCTGTTGTATTGTAACTAGTGGCATAATCAATTAGCATTTTGAAAATACTAGTTCAAATCTCGTGAAGAGCGCATCTCAGCCAGTACAGTGATTAGTGACCCTGACTGCGGTAGCGATGGGCCCGGATTCGAAACTCGGAGAATGCAGGGTTGTAGCTCTCCGTCCCATCAGGGAAGCAACATTGGCCACCTATTAGGTGCTTGCATGATGAAATGGCCTCCACTTCCGGCCTTGTTGTGACGCATAGCTATCAAATAAAGCGCTTGCCATTATATATAAAAAAATCTCGGAAAGTACAGCTGAACTATTATCTTTCTTGGCAAAAATTATCTGATGTCTCTATAACCTGTTAAGTTTGAAAAGTAAAGGGCAAATTACTTTATCAAGAGTTGCTGAATTCTGCATTCGCAAATCTGTTGGATTAACAAAAACACTAATTCGAAATTTATTATAAATGATTCATCATGGATTATGAATTTCTTACCCTATGAAAAGAAACGTTGATACAGACAGAACTCCACTGGTGATAACTTGCTGCATTAGATGTGAAAAATAGTTGGAAAAGCTTCCATAAACATAAATTAAATTCCCTAAAACACAAATTACAGTGTCACAGTTAGCCATTTAATCACATCAATTGCATTTACTTACTATATATGAAATTTGTAGCATCAGTCAAGATCACTTAAACTCTTTATTAATAAAATAACCGAAAGAGACACTTATATTTTTCGATTTCGTAGAGTTATTTTTCTTAAATAGAAAATTAAAAAAGAATGTTAAATTTCGTTTAAACTAGGTAAGAAGTGAAGTGCGAGTAAAGCAAAATTTTAAGCAGAATATAATAAAAATTTCAAATATCTATCGTATGCTATAAATTAAAATTTGAAGTTTAACTTTCGGAATGCTGTTGCGGACTATACAAAGTTTAGTATATTCTAGATTTACGGTAAGTATGCAAGTTAAGTGTTAGAGTAATAGACCTGATTGATGTTAAAATTCAGATTTCATTTTGTAGGTTTTATGTTCATTAATCTCTTAACCCATTAGTTTGCTGCACTATCACTTCTGCTTTCTTCGGCTCCCACCAGTATGCAAATTCCTTATATATATATATATAAACAGATTTCTAAATTTTAGTAGAAAGTCTTTTTTCAGTAACCGCTGACCGTCTTAATATCATTTTTATACATTTTCTAGTTTTATTTGAATCAGCTTTAGCCTTTGCTGTCTCCGCCGGCGTGCGTCGCGGGCCTGAGAGAAACGTACAGGCGGAATTTCACATTCTAATGTACTTCAGTTTCTTTCTAACGTTTGTGTTCTGTTATTTCCTGAATTAGAGAATACCTTCCCCCTTTTTCTATTTTTTTACACCAGCTGTGTAAGTTGTTAAGTTGAAAATCTAAAAAAGGTTTGTTTAAACCTTCTTCCCAGTTAGTGCTACTTTACTGGACGATCTAGAACTGTTCGATAAATCGCCTGGATGTCTATTCCGAAATAGAATTTAATACCAGTTGTTGTAGCAGATATGACCCGTACAACGTTTCCGGATATGGATGTTATTTTTTTTATTCTTATTTCTAATTTTAAGGAAAGAAATTTGCTTTTAATTCTCATTTTAAATCTGGAATCAAAGATTATTTGCATAACCCTTCGCTGTTCAACCTAAAAAACCAAAAGCTGATTTATAAATAAATATGCATAAAACTGAGAATAGGCAAGACAACAAAGATGATGAATAATAAAACTCTAAAAGTGCAATCTGTCATATTTTTTTTCATAGCATAATATTTAATCTGGTTTCCAAATGAAATTGGAATTCATTACTATATTACTTTGAAGTGGAAAAGCAGCGAGAGATGCCAAGTACGTATGAGAAAAGACAATCCAAGCCATGGCGAGAAATCTCATTCCATTCAAGAATGCGAAGGACTTATTTGCCACTTTAGTACTGAAGAGTTTCTGGAAGCTCGTTACGAAGGAAAATGCCATCAACAGTTTCAAAGTTTTACCTGCATGTAAATAAATAAATAAATGGGAGCAATTAATTTAGCTACAGAACAGAAAAGAAGAACATATTTCATCCATACAACAAATGCAAGGTCTATCAGAAAATATATACACTCTTTAAGAGATGATATCAGCTTATTAGTTTCAAAATTGTAGTCTAGAATAATGGAATCAAAATGTGTACTCGAGAAATAATCAAATCAAACTCATAACAGAATCAAAAAATTTTTATGTCATTAGTTCTTAATGGTAAAGGATAAAGTAGAATAATTAATGATTACTGGGGTAAAAAGTAAAGTTCTTTACATTCATAAAGTCTCATTGGATTCTCTGATCAGAGAACTTTAAAGAAGAGGCTATCAAAAATTTGATTTTAACATGTTTGCGTTGAGGCCAACAATAACCCAAATAGAAACGAATACTTAGGTTTGATTTTGGTACCTTAATAACCTAAAATTGGATAAAAGATAAATGTTGACTTACCCATGTATAGTGCCATAAAAGAATGTTTAACTTCTGCGCCTGCGGAACACGTATTTATTCAGAACATTAAAGGTGTAGTAAAAATTAAGACATATTTGGTCGGAAGAGACCTAGATAGCACCAGTCGCATACTGATATTCGCAAGTTCGTCGTCATGGAACAGAACATCGAAGGAAGTGAAATCTTGAAACAAAAGCCACTATTTAAATTTCGACGTCATGCTTGTAGAATATTATTGGTTTTGGTAGCAGAAAAAGAAAATTTCCGCAGATATTTTTAACAAAATGCTCTGCTTGATCGATCTCGTAACAGTGGCGTAAAAATTTATCACTGGATTTCAATTCTGAATTTAGAAATTCCTCTTCATCCTAATAGTGTATGAGACAAAAAAAAAGTAACTTGACGAATGAATATTTAACACACTCACAGGTATGAAAATAATATGAACAAGCACGAGTATTTGTTAATGAAAAATGTGGTGCCGAATCGGCGTAGAAAAAAGTTGCACGTCTTACAGTCTTCATTTAAGGGTGCGAGCTAACACTAGAGAAGAAGAGAGAGATGACCAAGCCAAGAATTATATTTTATGGGGTCTGCGATTAGCAAACACTTGCCTCCACATCAGAAATCGTAATGCAAAAAATTTGAAAATGCATAAAATTTAGAAATGGAAAAAACTAGAGGGAGCCACGCGAGAAAATTTAGGTAGAGGAAAGATATTAAGAACCATGAAGGTATTTTGTATTTTTAAGATTTTTAGAATTTTTTCGTTTGCTGCTTTTATATTTTAGAATTTTTTGTTTGTTTTTTTATATTTGGTATACACATTAGTTGACAGAAAAGCAATTAAAGATTAATATTTGGTGGCTTGGCAATAGTGTCTAATCAAAAGTTTATTAACCTTTTGAGGCCGGGGCTTTGGTAGCAGTAAAAGCTACCAAAGGGGAACTTGAGGGGAATCTTGAGCCGAATGCTTTCCCCCCTTTTAGAATCACCTCCTTTTGCAACAAACAAAGATTCTTGTGTGTAGTTTAATGTATTCTCAGAGGGGTGCATCTATGTCGCAAAAAGGAAGACCTTTGAAAGAGGTAAGTGGTTTAAAATCCCAGGGACATCAAACTTGACATTTCACATCATTTTTCAGCCTCGAAAATGGGGGAAAAGACATGGCCACTAAAGTGGACAAACCCCGTCTTTTCAAAGAGAGGACTCTATGGCCACTATAATGGCCATCCCGTCTTCAAAAGGTTAAGTCAAAGTTCTCAAGTCATAAAGTTCGCGAGGAAGTTTCCAGGCCAGAATTTAATTCTGCGGGTATGATGTGATTCGTAGGGAACAGACTGATAACTATTCAAAGTGAACAAACAAACTGATATTTATGCGAAGAGACATCTTTTTCAAATCGTTGATGTAATAAGTAAAGATGGCATTTTTAGCATGTAGCAGAAGCTCCGGAAATGGCGACCATCATCGTTGACGTAGTTACAGGAACTGAAATGGCTGGAGGCTGGTTTCCTCTTTAGCAATCGGATAGATTCCATATTCTCGGCCACGGTCTGCTTATAGACTTTTATCCAATGCCCGTTGCCACAGTCGAAAAGGAGTTTGGAATGAAAATGTGAGAGCTTGCCTTCGCACGTAACATGTGTTTATAATATTGTCAATCATAATTTATTTAAGAAGAACGATACAGAATTTGAAAACGTGATTATGCTCTTTAAAATCAAACAATTTCCCCCTTTATGTAAAATATTATAAAGTTTAAAAATTAAACTATTGGGATAGTTAGGGGATTAGAACAGTTTACGTTGTACGGTTTCATGGTTAACCAGTTATTCTATTATTTTTCCTTTTAATGTTGATTGTATTCTAATGAGAACTTTCTAAGAAGAACACACTCTTTGAAACATATTCTCATATATAATGTAATGCATGAGGCAAGCCATAAAATAAACTATCATTTAGCTTATTTTGCGAGAAGTGAAACTTGGATGACCTATTAGCGTCAAACAACTTTATTCACTCAACCATTTGTGGGGGTTACCAAAGTAATTATATGTTTTACAGTCGGGTATACACAACGGAGCTCAAATGAAGTAGTAAGGTTTATATACTGGTTTATCAGTGTTATGAATAAAATACAGTATCTGTTTACAGTAAATACAAAGAATTATTAATTTCATTAAACTTCTTTCACTTACTTCTTATAATATTTTTGTGTTGTATACACAAGTGCATCGTTGTTGCAAAAGCTACCAAGAAAGTCGCTAGGGCATAAAAGAATCTGAAATATATATTAAAAACATTAAACTTCGTATTAAAGAAACGTTAAATTATAAGATCAATTTAGAAGCAGAAATAACTTATCATTTTAATATTTTATTATAAATATCATTTTAATATTTCATCGTTATCAGTAACAGATTTACAGGATCTTGCAAGTCGTAATGATGATCAGATTTTTAATCAATTTTTAAAAAAAATAAAAACACTTTGAGTGTTAAGAAGAGAACCTCAGAAATGTTCCATTGGGATTATAGATCCCTCATTTTTGTAATCTATTATCGATAGTAATCAATAAACTTCTACATCCCTGGTTTATTACCTTATTTATACTTGGCGAATATTCCACTTATATTTATCTTACTTTCTTAAGCATAGTAAACAAATTAAGCTTTCTGTGCACAATTCAAATTTATAAAGCTATTTAATATTAAAATTACTAATTCCATACTTCCAATTATATTCGCTTTAGAAACCTGAAGATAAATTCTTTTGTTTTCATTACAAGTATAAAATGAAATTCCCTCTGAATACAACTTTTACCTCTGATAACCACCTTTACCCGGTCATGAGTTTTTTTACCCGCTATATTACATTGTGATTTAACACTAACATTACGGAATTTTCAGTTTCCCTGTAAGTGCTGTGTGCCATTAAGAAAAATCTGATGTGTACACCACATGACTTCCTTGTATTGGAATATTATCCTCCCCGGGGGTCGACGTAGAGAATTCTGCGAAGCTACTGGCTAGGATCTTACCTAGGCAGTCTCGCCCGGGGGTATAAAATTTAGAATTGGTGGTTCTGAAGGCTCTGGGAAAGGTCACTTATTGGCCGGCCCCGGAGTCTGGCAGTCCTAGCGCGGCGTGTACTAGTAACCCGGGGATCTCCCCCGGGGTCGCTGTGTAATGTCCCGCTGCGACGAGCTCGCCCAAGCGACTGGTAGGCATTAGACGACCGGTGATGCCTGGGCTTGCTCCGGTGGTGCGCTGCTCCTAAGGGTAATAGTGGAGGTGAACCACCACGATTGCCCTAAGGGGGGAGTGGACCCGGAATGAGATTGAGTTCTCGAAAGGGGAATGCCCAACCTTCTTTATTGGAATATTAAATTATACGCATTTTTTCTTGCATTTCATTTAAACTTATTGGATTGAATTAAATCTACTTCGCCAAGCGCATAACCACAATAGAATAAATGCATTCTTTAAAATTCACTCTAGTATTTGTTTACACTCTGGCGCTAGATTCACTTAACAGTATTAATAATTATATAAAGTTAACTTATATAATAATTTTATAACGGAAACTAAGTTAACTGTTATATAACCCAATAATTATATAACAGTTAACTTATATATTTCGTCATATATAACTCATAATGCACAAAATTTATATCATTTAAAGAATAGAATTATCTATCGTTGCCACATGTTCTATTCAAATACTATAATAAAGCTAGAATGATGTATAAAAGAATTAAGTAAAGAAACAAAAAGAAACAGTTTTTTACAGACGTTTGAGTATTTCTCATTTAATTAATTCAGTTCTCCCTTCGCGAGAAGGCAAAATACATAAAACTCAAAATATCTATATTAAAATTACGAACTAAATCTTAAACGCTTATTTCCTCGAAAAAATTCCAGAAAGGATTAAGCAGGATTTAAATAATAAATGAAGGCGATATCTTTGTTGTTGCGCAGCTAAGTTTCTCTAGATTGGCAACAAATCCACTAGTCTCCTGTTTCAAATGTAAACATCAATGTCCGCCATTAAAAAAGGCTTAGCGGCAATTAAACAACTTTAAAATTGCTGATAGTTCTAAAAATATTGCACACAGATTTACTAAAGGCATGAAATCCTTAACCGGATGATAAAAACAACATAATTCAATCATTTTTAAAGCAAAAAATGTACAATTTACAAACATATAAGAGTAAAGTAACTGAGATCACTGAGCAGGGTAACAGAGTGGATATATATATAAATATATTTATATACGTTTAGTGCGGCCGATTGCAACCAAAATACGAGGTGCACATCTACATGTTATAGCAGTCATGTATACAAAATTTCAATGTTCTGAGGCTACTCGTTTTTGAGTTATGCGAGATACGTACGTACATACGTTCGTACAGACGCCACGAAAAATTTTCTTCAGAATTAAGTTTAAAGCAGTTTTATAATTTTTTTTGAAGGAAAAGAGTATTTTATTCTGTCCTTACGTACAGATATCACGCAAAACATCGTTAAATAGCATTCGATAGCGGTCAAATGGATTTTCGTTGAATATGCTGCCCGAAACTTTTCGCGATTACAATACTTCCTTTTTACTTCGTACAAGGAAGTAAAAAATGAATAAATCGTCACCGATTCACTTCAGAACCGGAGATATTAACATGAGGTAGATAATTTACTACATTCTTTTAATGAACAGGAATTATGTGGATCCTTTTTAAACATAACGTTGAAAAAACACGACAAATGGTTTAATATATTAACCATTTATCTCCACTTTTTTATTTCGCTCTGGATTCGAGTAGATTTCATAAAAGATTTCATAGATGTTTTACTTTGATAAAGATCATTCTAACCTACTGACCTAAGCACTTTACTTGGTACATTGCTAGTGGGCAGTTCTCATGATAATGATGAGGCTGAACATCGGGCTACTTAGCATTTTCTACGTGGTTACAATTTCAGGTGAACTTTTAGTATTTATTGACTTGTTTTTAAAATCTCTTATATTACTTAGGATAATTAGCTATTACAAAAAACTAAACCCTTAACAAATGTTTATAGTTTTTGTTTATTATATAAATATCTGTTGACAGAGACGGTGCTTACTATAGCAGTGCACTTTTATTTGTGAATTTTCTTTGCTTTATAAACATGTTAAGGGAATTATATTTTATTAGTAGTAGTATCTTAATATTCATAATTCATAAAAATTGCGAAATTTTTGCGGTAATATTTGTGACCTTCCTATTCTTTTATTATTTATTACTTTTTAGGATAGAGCATAATGCTAGTATTATTGTAATATTCACGTTCAAAAGATCCTTAGGGAATAAATTTAATGCTCACGAAAATATAAAGACAATAGAGGAAAAAATTATATTTCAGTCATTTAATTAACTTATAGACATTTTAAAGCAAAAATCAGTATTAGATAAGAGATAAAGCTAAAAATGTAACTGCAAACAATTTTGCAACAAATTCTAATGTCGGCCTTTCTTTTTTCAAAGATGCAAGATTATGTTGATAGATAGAATCAAATTATCAGCATAGATCAAGCAATTTATGTTGATAATTTTCTAAATATTGCCTAAAATTCGTAACCATTTTCCCTTTCTACTCGAAATATTTAATATATAGTTTTCCTCTTCCACAAATACATGATTGATTTTTATATATATTCATTATTATTTTGATGTCGAGTTCGTTCTTTTTTGTGGATTTTGATATGCTTTTCAGCATTTAATTTGCTTCAATTTCTTATTTAATATACATTTTAACGCTTAAGAGTCAAAAAACAAATTTGTTAAATGTGTATAATTTACAATCAGCTACACAGCATTTGAGTTAGTTAATTTTCTTTAGGTTTAGGTTTTAGGTTATTTAATTACGGCAAAGCCACAAGGGCTATCTGCCTAAGGGGAGGAATGCCTTCGTGGAGGTCTTTCTAAGAGAAACTGGCTCGTATACACGTTACACATGGGGAAAACCACGAAAACACCCATGCAGCCAGCCCGTTCGCGGGATTCGAACCACGGACCGAACTACCCGTGTTCAGCGACTTTACAACGCGGTCGCTGGTGGACCAGTTAATTTTCTATGAATAATAATTATTTATACCAGAAAACGAAATTAAAGATGTTTACGCCAAGTATTCTATTCAAATTAACTTCCTAAATATAACTGTAACTAGAAATGAATTAGATTTCCTAATTCTTTTCCTTTACCTTTATTATGAGAAGATAGTCAAGTTTAGTTACGTAGAAGAAACAAATTAAAGCAATAATATACACACTTTCAGCAGTAATATAATAGAAGTATCAATTTAAATTTTTGTAATGTTAGCGGAAGCTATTTTATTAAAGAAATCAAATTTATTTATGTGTTTCGCCATGAGATTATTAAATGAGCGATATAACTAGTGCAAACATATACATTATGTGAGAGAAATAAATATATTATTAAACACAGTAGATTAAATATCTGCATTTAAAAAGATGTAATGAATTTAAAAAGTACATTTTCTTGTAGATTTTAAAAAAGAATAAAAATGCATATCTTTTTTCTGAGATATAACGGAAACGCTCTAGCTTCAAACTTAAGGTTATTATCTTCTTTGCAGTTTTAAAACTAAAAACCACATACATAATACAAAATTTTAAAAAATTCCGAATATAGTTCTTTTTTCAAAGAATGAGACTAAAAAAACTAAAATACATTCTAAATACACTCATGTCCATAAATTAAGGATAATCGGAGTCACGCGGAAATCGAACTCTAAAAAACACCCTGTAAAATCACTACACACATCTTCAAGAATCATATGCAAATTTCAGGAAGTAACCAGATGACGCCGATGGTACGTCACAATGACGAGAGGTAAGAGAGTGATATATAACGAATACAGGCAAAGAAGTAAAATTTTTCGCAGGCGCTTTATAAGCATTTCAGTGCAATAACGAATAGTTATGACACAAAGGACGCAGTTGGATGTTTTTTTACGTGGTAGAATTATCGGCCGTCTGGAATGTGGGCGTACCCAATTGGAAATATCAGACGAACGTGGAATTGCCAGAGTGTCATCTCCAGGCTTTGCCAACGATTCCAAGATGATGGTAATGTGAGTAAACGTTGCAGCACAGGTCGCCCTAGAGTTACAACGCCGAATGAGGACCGGTATTTGGCAGTTACGCCAAAAGAAACAGACGGAGCACAGCCTCAGACCTGTCTCGTCAGCTCTCTTCAGCCACTGGTACGACAATTTCA